AGAAAATTGAAGGATTTTAAAGTCAGAATTCTGAGATTAAAGTCAGAATTCTGAGATTAAAGTCAGAATTCTGAGAAAAAAAGTCAGAATTCTGAGATTAAAGTCAGAATTCTGAGAAAAAAAGTCAGAATTCTGAGATTAATGTCAGAATTATGAGATTAAAGTCAGAATTTTGAGATTAAAGTCAGAATTCTGATAAAAAAAGTCAGAATTCTGAGATTAAAGTCAGAATTCTGAGAAAAAAAGTCTGAATTCTGAGATTAATGTCAGAATTCTGAGATTAAAGTCAGAATTTTGAGATTAAAGTCAGAATTCTGAGATTAAAGTCAGAATTTTGAGAAAAAAAGTCAGAATTCTGAGATTAATGTCAGAATTCTGAGATCAAAGTCAGAATTTTGAGATTAAAGTCAGAATTTTGAGATTAAAGTCAGAATTCTGAGATTAAAGTCAGAATTCTGAGATTAAAGTCAGAATTCTGAGATTAAATTCAGAATTCTGAGATTAAAGTCAGAATTCTGAGATTAAAGTCAGAATTTTGAGATTAAATTTAGAATTTTGAGATTAAAGTCAGAATTCTGAGAAAAAAGTTAGAATTCTGACTTTTTTCCCCATATTAAACTGAAATATAATCAGTTAACTTTTTTTTTTTTTTCCAGTGGCCCTAATCCTCTTCCGTAGTTTAGTTCACTGGAAAAACGATCTAGAAACAGCTTTCTTAAATTAAATGTATTTATTCTTAATCTTTGAGAAGGTAAATGAGATAGTTTGCCAATGGAATTAGTATTTTTAAAATAAGACAATTAGATAACATGCACTTGAAATAAGACAATGCAATTGCGTTGTCTTATTTTAAATGTAAATTGTCTTGTTCCATTAGCAAAATGTATTTTTTACCTCCTCAATCCAACAACAAATGCACTTACTTTAAGAAAAAAATGACTTATCTAGATTTCAATTTTTTCCAGTGTGTTGCATGACGCAGAGTCTTAAGAAACAATAACTTCTTTTCCCTCCGCCTTACATTTTCTCCAGAAGGACTTTGTACTGCTCATCTCCTCGACCTCCTTCTACTTCTTGATCCAGTTTGGTTATGAGCTCGTTCTCAAACTGTAAAGATAAAAAGTGGAATCAAAGGAAGACAAACACCTTCATTAAACAGCTGGTTGTATTTCACAGAGCTGCTCTCCTGAGGCCGTGTTTTACCGTTTCAAAAGTGCGCGTCTTGCTGAAGTTGTGCTCGCACTGCATCATATCGAAGAAGATGGGAATGGTGTCCTTCCTGAGCTCCGGCTCTGGCACCAGCGTGACCTCCAGGATGGGGCCGACCATGGAGGGGATAAACTTCATTTTGTGGGGGCCTGAGGGACGGCAAATGTTATCACACAGAAAATATTACAGCGTGACTTGAGAAGGCAATATGCTGCCTCTTCACGTCTCGACAAACAGAGGAGGAATCTAATAACGAGCCCCGGAAAGCGCCCAACAACAGCCCGCTTTGAAACTGGACAATAAAAAAATATTGTCTTGTTATTCCCCTCGCGTCGCAGGCAGCCGGCAGATAAACAGTCGCAGAAAGACTACGACTGCAGCGATGCTCACCGATGTTGTACCACATGTCCCTGATTCTGAATCCCATGGTCTTCCTCATGTCTCCATATCTGAAACAAAACCAAATCAAGCAGTTTATTAAACGTCTTTCCTTTAGGTTCAATTCCAGTCTTATTTATTGATAAATATACATAAAAGGGCTAAAAATTATACATTTGTACAGTAGTAGCGTAACGTCCCACAGAGCAAAGCAGCTGGTAAACAATTGCATGGATTCTGCCTTCAGTTTTGGAGCATTATCAGCTCTGAAGAGTGTCTGAGTTGAAAGGAAGCTACAATTCCTACTTAACTAAAACTTTTTACACCCTCTAATTAACTTTAAGCTGATAGCTTAATGTACAACTGTGGATGCACAACTTTATATCCCCAGATGAACTGGATAGATGATTTTATTTATTCTATTTTAACGGATCCAACACTGCAAAAAATCTAAATCTAGATAAGTCATTATTTCTCTTAAAATAAGTGCATTTGTTCTTGTATTGAGGAGGTAAAAGAGACATTCTGCCAATGGAACAAGACAATTTACACTTAAAACAAGAAAACACAATTGCATTGTCTTATTTAAAGTGCATATTATCTAATTATCTTACCTTAAGACTAAAATTACTCATTCCATTGGCAAACTATCTCATTTACCTTCTCACATTAAGGGTGAATACATTTAATTTAGGAAATTTTAATCGTTTTTGCAGTGAAAATGTTTAATTTCTGACTCGGTTATTGGGCCGACTTTAATATAAAATACTTTTGCACCAGAAAACATGATAAAGCCAGTGTTCTGTGAGATCGGCATGAGTCATTTTTTCCTCAAATAAGTGCACTCTTCTTGAATTGAGGAGGTTAGTGAGAAACTTTAAAATATGAAAACACAATTGCATTATCTTATTTCAAGTGCATATTATCTAATTATTTACCTGCTCAATATAAGGGTAAATACACTTAATTTTGGACATTTTTACTTATTTCGAGATCGTTTTTCCAGTGTAGTCATGTACAAAAAAAAAACAAATTTAAGGTCGCTATACGCTTTAAATTGTTTTTTTTTTTTTTTTTTTTTTTTTTACTAAAGAGATACACACCTGTTGAGGTAGTTGAAAGTGTATTTTTCGTACAAAACTAAAGGGATAAACTAAAGGAATATACGGGTATTGATTATATGATTATTTACTCTTAATTTGAGTGGGTAAATGAAATGCTTTGCCAGTGGAATGAGTATTTTTACTTAAAAGAAGTTATTTAGATAAAATGCACTTAAAATAAGACAATGCAATTGTGTTTTCTTATTTTAAATGCAAATTGTCTTGTTCCATTGGCAAAATATATCTTTTACCTCCTCAATCCAAGAGCAAATGCACTTATTTTAGGAAAAAATGACTTACGGTATCTAGATTTCATTTTTTTTTCCAGTGTAGATCCTAGAGCTGATAAATGACTTCTTGTTGGTTTAACATTTCTCCCATTCGAGGTAAAAAAAAAAAAAACAACAATAAAGAAAAGAAAAACTTAAGGAAGCAAAGTGACACAGATGTTGAGATAAATGGACGATTTTAGAATGACTGAAAGGAAAGACGCTATTGGCTATCCTACCAGTCACTAGATAACATCATTTATTTGCGTATTTGGTCATGCTTGATTCAGACAGAAAGAGAATATTAATATTGGCAAGACAAAAACAAACTCTATAAAATAATAATAAGTAATCATTAAGATAATACCTTAAACCAAAACTACATAAATTAATCTTACTTTATCAATTTTAACTTAAAGGAACACAGAAATACAGGGAGGATCTATTGTAGTTTAAGTTTTAAAGGAACAAAAATATTAAAAGATAAATATTATATCTATTTCTCTCTTTTTTGTCAAGGTTGGAATAGTGGAAGATCTTGCTTGAGAGTCACTTTTCTCTCTGACTGAAGGCAGTTTGCTGCTGTCAGCGTGTTGTTGGAGGGAGGGGCTAACAGCAGCACTCGCTGCTCGCTGAAGACGGTAAAATCAAACAGATCGGTGCTTTCACCTCGTCACCAAAGACTCCAACATTACAGAAAAAAGTTGTTAGCAGGATCTAAAGTCTACAATTATAGCAGCAAAGCCCCTAAAGCCGGGCATAGACTGTACGATTTTTTGCCCTTTTGTGCCGATTCTCCAGTCGTTTGAGAATTTTTCGATGAGGCTGACTTTCAGCCTCGTCATTCGTCGTGCATCGTGTACAGGGGTTAACATGGGGCGAACAGCCGCTCACGACCAACTCCCGAACAGGAATCGTAAGGTTGAAAGAAAATCAAACACGTTTGAAATTCAGTCGGCCGTCATACATTTATCATGGGCTGTGAACTTTTAAACTCTGCGGTTTCGTCGTACAGTTTGAGCCGTAGCTGCAAGAAATGATTGAAAATATCACGCAGTGTTTGCCAGAGAGAGAGAGAAAAACAGTGTGCCACTCACCGGCTGGGAGGATTTAAAACTCGTGGCTACACCTTGTAGTTAAAACCAATTCAGTTATATTTATTCTATATGAGAGGTTAGAGGCGCCACTTTTTCATTTACATTATTTCTCCCATTTAATTTCTTAAAATTCAGGTTGTAATAAATTCCCAGAATAAAGACAACATTAGCAATGTAATCATACCCTCAATCCCCCCATTTCTCCTTTAATGAAATAAATAAATATCATTTAAAGGTATACTATGCAACCGGTGTTGATTTTCCAGCGAGGCTCCCCCCAGAGGGCGAAAGTAAAAGTGCACTGTTGTAAATATGCTCAGCTGTTCTCCTGGTTTCTCCGTCAAGCCAGGCGCGGTTGTTTTGAGCTTAGCAGACAGACGAATGCAACGAATCACCATGTCTACTGCGGTAAGTGACTATTTTATTCCAATTTTCGAGTTTGAAAATTCTCGCTGGTTCCGCCACGATAAATGCACAAATATCGCCACTGCGCTAGCAACCAGCATGCCTTTCACTGGGGGCGGGTAGCAGCTCTCGCCGTAAAGCAAGACCGACTCTCGCGATGTGCAAGACTTCTGAGCCTGTGGGTGCGGGCCGAGGGCTGCTGCAATTGCAAGTACGGTATTTCCCCTACAGACCACCAGGGCGGCCGAGAAAACCTTTGTTCGACCTGAAATGACTAATTTAATCATCCAAAACGTTATGGAACACATTAATTAACTGAAAAATGTTGCCTAGTATGCCTTTAAAGTACATTAAAAAAAAAAAACATTTCTTTACATATTTCCTCCCCTACAAAAAAACAATCCATTAAAATCAAAGGTTTGATTTATCTAAAATTCACAGTGGAGGATTATAAAAGAAAAAAATATCAATTTATTCCATCTTTACTAAGGATGCCAAGGATGTGGGCGGCACCATAGATTTAGCATAAGAGATCTTACTTGTTGAGGATCTTGTTTCGTTTTTCCTGGGAGAAGGATTCCAGCTGGAGTGTCTTGTGGGTGAGGAACGCCACGGTCAGATGGAAGTAATTATTCCACAGCTGCAATAAAAACAAAAAAAAACAAAACGGCTTTTAAATTAAAAATACTAAAGCAGCATCCAAAGAGAAATACACAAAAAGCACAAACCTGCAGTTCAAAGTGCGCCTGGTCCAGGAACAGCTTGTTGAGGACGTCTGAGTACTGGTTGATGGCCCTGAGGAAGACCTGCATCTGCACCAGGTTCATCACCATCCAGTCAGCAGGGAAGACATTTCCCATGAGGTCCTTAAACATAATGAATGTCTCCATCAGGAAGTCCTAAAAAACAGAGAGGGGGGAAATAAAACCTTTACTGCAAATGCATCAGTTCTGTCTCTTAAAAGAAATACACTGAGTAAGAGTGGAGAGATGAAAAACCAAACAAACACTAGGTAAATTAGCTCCTGCACGTCAGTTACACCCCCCACTTCCTTTAGTTTAATAGAGGTCCAAGAACATCCTGATCCTGTCAGTTTAATCAAGTCCATGAAATGTCTGTAATCAATATTCCCTTAAGGAGCAGTAAGTGGCCAGGGTGGTTTATTGCCCGTTATTGATGGGATGCTTCGGGACACGATGTAGCCAACAGTGGAGGAACTGAGACACTTACAATGATATCCTGTCTGGTTTTGAAGGTGCTGATGTAGTGGGTGTAATGCATGTCATCCATTTGCTTCAGGATGGCCGTCATGCAGGCAAGATAGTGGCCCTGCCAAAAAAAGCGACAGCTATTACTCAGCAGATTTCACAGAAAATCCCTTCCTGAAAAGACGGCATTAGCATAAGAAAAGGGCACGTCGCTCTGATTCGGCTGTTGGGGTGTTATTTGTTGCGCTGCAGATGGGGAGTGTGTGTGTGGGGGGGTCCCTTACAATGAGCGGGGAGGATCTGTCCATGCTGATGACTGTCCGATTAACTCTGCGAAGGAGCCGCTCCATGATCAGCTGGATGTGGACTCTGGTTGGACCCTGGAAACAGGAAACAGATCAGATAGAGTCCACCGTGCCCTCACTGTTAGAGGGCGAACACAATCTCTTTATGCCACACCTGTGAAGGTGCAAGGTGATTGTTTATTGTTTTTATCCAGCTTTTTATTGTCATTACACTGCCACAAGTACATAACCTGACTCCGCCAGATGGATTTGCTCCGCATATCCATCTGGAAACCTTCCGTTGAAGTAATTTTGGGGCGAAAATACTGGTTAGCTGATTGGCCTACGTTGGTGATAGACGGACCAAATAACCCAATCAGATCAACGAAGCATATGACGTACAAACAGAGCGATGACGAAAACACAACCACAAGCCAGGCTACTCTTGCCGACCAGTCGGGAAAAGAGCAAAAACATCTTTTCCTCTGAGAAAAGCCTCCAGAGCAGTGTTTTGCTCTTCTTTCAGTGAAGAAATACTCTGTAATTCCGATAAAACTTGCTCCATAGCCACGCTAACGCTAGTTTCATCGGCTGAAGCCGCCATGTTCTTTAGACTGAACTGTCGCTCTCCTTGTGCGTCACACCTCAACCCGCCTCAAAGCCAACGCTGATTGGACGTTCGTTTGGTGAACGGCTCCAAATTTTTTTTAACGGAAAGTCTCCAGACTAATCTGCGAATGAAACCTTGAAGCTCACGAGATCAGGATGGTCTCACGAGGCTAAAAAGTACAGAGCAACGAAATTACCTCTGCATTTAATACATCCCTTTGGGGAGCAGTGGGCTGCCATTGTGTGGCGCCCGGGGAGCAATGTAGGGTCAAGGCTCTTTGCTCAGGGACCCAGAGTGGCAGTCTGTGGGATTGGGGCTCGAACTCAGAACCTCGGGATTCCAAGCTCCATGCCCTAACCACTAGGCCGCTATCTCGTATTTTTTTCTCATTAACAATCTCATCTCAATCTTTTGAAATAGTGGCTGATTGTTCAATGATTTTTAAGGGTTTTTCTAATTCAGGGGTCACCAATGTGGCTGGCACCAAGCGGCCCTCAAGGACCACATGGGGGGCCTTCGGATTCTTCTGAAAATAGAACAACTAATCATTGGGCTAAGTTTGAAATTCCATTTTGCTCTGTTGCTCTTCTTTTTAATCATTTACAGAGCACTTCAAAATGACAATGTCTACAATTAAGTTAGAAATGAAAAGAAACAATAAAAATATGTTTATAAAACAAAGTTTAGGTGAACTCTGACTCTTGCAGTTAATGGGTCATTATTGGTAGCCCTTCCTATAGCCCCATTTACACTACCCCTTGAAAACCGATCTGTGTGAGCTTGATTGTTTACGACCGTTTACCCTCCACGCTAGCACGGTTCCTTGCCTGATAGTGACAATCTACGGTACGACTGCTCTCTAACAGGAAGCAAGCAAACCAACATGGCGGCGCCCGTAAAATTCAGGCTGTTATGTTTTGTTATTGTAACACTTGTTTGCAGAGAGTCAGTTGAAGAATTCGCCTTTGGTAAATTTACTTGACAGAGTCGGCTTTTGGGAAGTGGATACGACAAACAATATTCTAATCATGTCAGGATTCTGTGTTCTGCTGATTCTCTTCCACAGGTGGCTGTTGTTGACAGTTGAGCGTGGCTCTGCACCTGGGGCTCGTTGGGGCTGCTCTGGCTGGAGCTTAAAAGGAGTTTTCAGTCAGCTGAAGGACACAGGAGTGTTAGACCATTGTGGTACACCTAGGCCACTGTCCAGTCTATAGTTCTTCGTTCCTGTGAGTTAAACGTTTCGGCTTTCTAGTTCTAACTAACAAACTTCTAACTCAGTTTGTCGTGCTTTGGATTTCTTACCCGTTGTGTCCCCGTGCGCTGAGGACTGGTTCCTGAATCCCAGCTACTCAGTTTCTGCTCTGGTGTTCCCCTCGTGCCCCCTTGGTTTTACCGAGCCGGGCAAGAGACCCCCTTCCTGGATTCACTCTGGTTCCTTCAGCTGCTCCTTGAACCTATGTCCGCTGTGGCCCTGCTCGGGCTCCCGACTATGTTCCATCCGCTAGCTCGCCTGTCGCTCAGTCATCTCCTCCCATCGGAAAGCAGTGAGTTGCAGATTCCCTTCCTCCACTCACCCTCCCCGGATAGGTTATCCGTTCCTGGGGGTAAGCGAAGCGGCGTCAGCGCAGATCTCCCTTACTCTTCTAGTGGTAATCAGTGTCTTCTTTCCTCCCACAGTGCTCCTAACTCTGACGTCCCAAACCTCGCCTGCAGCTCACGTACTGAGCTATTCATATCTGTGTATAGCCTAAATAAACATCTTTAACTGCTCCTTGTTCTCCAACTTTGTTTGCATGTGGGCCAAACACCTTAAAACCATGACAAATAAGGGCTTACAGATGCAGGAAATGATGACAGATGTTGAGGTTCATCACACTGCTAAGAATCATCACTGGAAATCCTGTGACACGCTAGGGAAGCTAGTATTTTTATGAATGTCAGAAATTTCATGTTTAGGGAGGCTGACTGATGAACTAGTACCATGTTAGCACGGTTTGGTTGGGTTCGGTTGGGTCTACTGCGGTCCAGTTCAGTTCTGCGTTCCATTTACACTCTAGTTACCTTGGTTACCGTGCTCAAACCGATCTTGGCATGGTTTCAAAAGGGTAGTGTAAATTGGGCTTATGACTCAGTACCTTGAAGTGGCCCTCAGCCTTAATGATGACCCCTGAATCACTTAAAATAAAAACGGAACAAATTAAAATGTTGCCATCCTCTTTTAAATCAATCACTTTCTGAACATTTCAAACACCACAGAATTGACACTTATTAAAAATTAAAAACTGAAGCTGATTTAAATCTATTATTTCTTTAGAATGAAGAGAGAAACTTCAGACTCTAATGCTGCGTTCACACCGGACGCAGCAGGCGCAGCAGAAGCAGAGAGTTTACATGCAAAGTCAGTGGTTGACGCTCGTCAAGGCGCAGCAAAAAGCCCCGCAGCGCGTTTTGAGCAGCAGACGCAGCACGTCTGATGCTTATACGCTCCCGATGCGCTGCTGCTCGAGATGGAAGAATTGAACTTTTGCTGCTCGACGCGCCGCGTCAACCAATCAGAGAAGCTGATCTGGGAGCTGGCAGGAAGAGAGACACATCGCTGATGATACAGAGCGCTGTGATCGCTCCTCTGAAACAGTTTATTAACGCCTAAACTAACTTAAAATGCTGAAACCTGCCGACAAAGCATGAAATCTGCCGATAGAATATGTTCACTTTTATTATTCTGGTGCCTGCAGTCTGGATTATGTACATGAAAACCACCTTCCAGCCGCCGCTGTGAACCGCGAGGAGGCGACCGGGCCATAGGCTGCTGTTGAATGGGATTCCTAGTTATGTGTGGGTCTGAGCGGCTCCGACAGAAATAATATTGAAAGGCAGGATGGTAATCTGGATGAACTGACTGCACTGATTAAGTTTTCAGGTGGATTTTATCACTTAAAAACAAATTAAAATTACTTTATTCCCACTGATCACAGCAAATATAGCTGCAAGGCAAAGAAAGGATAGAGTAGCTCCAACCAACGCGCGTCAGATCCACTTTTGCACCGCGCAGCTAGAGCAGCAAAGCTGCTTCAGCCGCTTTAGAACTAAACTGGTACAAGCAGCAAAAAGGAAGCAGCAGACGCGATTTTGCTGCTCCAGCTGCATCTGTTATATCTAACATTATATTCATGTTTCTGTTAGTCTTCCTTCTGCTCTTAAATATTTGTGTGTGAAAAGTCATAATCTCTAAAAAATGTGAAGATGGATGACCGAATGTGTCGGTTATAAACCAGGCTTTGCTCCAAAGTATTTCTGATTTAGACTCTTGGTTTTGCTGAAAGGTGAACTTTCACTGTGATTCAAGTTTTTGTTAAGTTCCACTCTTCTTCCCAACAACTCAGACCAGCTGAAGTAAAGACTCCCCACAGTATGCTGCTGCCACCACCGTACTGCATCATGGGTGCTAATGTTTAAGTTACTCTACCTTTGGATATTAAATGGAGCAGTGCTCCCTGTGATGTTCAAAGCTTAGAAATCTGTTTTATAACCCAGTTTTGTGCCGTTTGCTGTGGGCCTTTGTTGTTAAGACTTAACAGAACCTCTGAAGCACTGAGCTCTGCTGTAAACTACCGTGTTCCATGTATTTCATATTTTTTTACCTGTGAATAACCTTGATAACTCTACCTTCTCCATCTTCCACTGTTCAAATGAAACCATTATGTGTTGGTTTATTATATAAAACACATTAAAATACACTAGAAGATTGCCTTACCCATATTAGTATGACTTTTGCAAATTATTGGTAAATTAGTTTAGAACCAGAAACTCATCTTAAATGGTATCTAATCAAGGATGTGTGCAATAAAAATGAATTTCATCTCTTTAATGAGGAGATTTTAATCTTCCATGATGAGTAACCAAAACATCAGCCTTTTATGAAAATCTCATAAAAGGCATCAGTTAAACAGACTCATTATGTTTAGAATAAAGCGTAGAAAGCTGAGGAGGAGAAGCTTAGCCGCCGTTTTCCTTTAATAATGTTTGTATTGTTGGTAGCGTGTCGGTTTTTTCTCCTGCTTTCAACCAAGTTACAGTCTGGACTTCGACTCAGGTCACAGCGGTAGTGAAAATTGTTTCTTTTTTCAGGCATTATTGGAGTAGATTTCCTGCTGCTCTTGGGATCGCTGTCCTGTCATCTGACCCAGTTTCAGAAAAGCTTGTGTCGCACAGATGGCCTCACAGAAAGGCCTTCGTCTGCAAGGTGCTCAGGTCCTACAGCCTTGGAGGGGCTCCATATCATCAGCTCAGGGTCACTTTGGATTAGTTCTTCTCATAATGACTCCTCTACTGTATGTTGTTTTCCTGGATCTTTAACAGATTGAAAGCCTTCCTGCACACTGTCCACTTTCTCTTTGACTTCAGACGGACGGAGCATCCCATTGGTGGAAACGAAACACTAATATTTCCCAGATAAAGGAGCGGCTATAATCCTCCTTTAAATAAA